CACATAGATCCAACCATTTGATTCAAATGCGCAACATTTTCGGCGTAAAAAGTCTTACTTTATTAGTGTGGTCTTGGCACACATTTTTTTTATTTCCAGTTTAAATTTCTATATAAAAAAATATAAACGAATTCGTATTTCATTCCAAATAATTTTGTATTCATACTTAGGTACTTTTACCACGAGAGAAACGAGACGAGACGAGAGAAAGGCACTCTCGAGCGAGAAAAGAGTATTCTCGACGAGACGAGAGACCCATTTTCTCTCGCTGCACGAGACGAGACGAGAGAAGGACTTTTCTCGTCTCGTCTCGTCTCGCGGCATCACTAAGTGCATTATGTTATGTTATTACTAGACCTGGTGGCTTCCCAAAAACCCTATTCTAGACCAACAGTGAAACAACCAAAAATAAAAATAATTATTTTCACTTGGGGGACATCTCAATATATTCACCCATTTATGTCTTATCGAATTTATTTTATTTGGCGGATACACACTGTATAATGTCGAAAATATCTGAAATATATTGTTTTAGAAAAGTCAGTCCACACAATTAGTTTTTTAAATAGGACTTATAGGACTTTTTATACTTCTCTTATTACTAATAATAAGTTATTAGTTGTCTGTTATGTTAAATCCAAAAAAAGTAAATAAAGAAAGGATTTTATATCATTTATTTGGTCAGTTTCTTCTGAATTAATGTATTCCATTAATAGAGATTACTTACACTTAAACATTAATAAAAACAGTTTAATAATTTGCTAAAGCTATTAGATGTACATAATTTAATAAATTATTTATACTATATTTATAAATTATAAAATAATTAAACCACATTAATTTTACAATTAAATTTATTTAGACAGTAAATTTATTAATTTAAATACAAACCTGAATTATGAATAATTAAGATTAATGTAGTCAAAATAGATTTCTTAAAAATTCTAGTAATTAAACAAATTTCAACAAAAAACTATCAATTTTATTTAATTAACCAGGCTGGTGAGCACGGGGGGGGTTCAACTGATTCGTTTTAAATGTGTATTGGTTCCCACCAGATCCGAAACTTTCATTCATACGTGCAAAACTAGTTAGATACGCCTCCAGAAATTCTTTATAATCTCTCATTCAAGTGTTCTATAAAATCGCCTGTTAACCAGGACAGTGTCCATTTCGCGCGCACATTGACTCAAAAAAAAAATAATTAGATACACAATTTTTTGAAATAAAAAAAATATTTTTTTAACCCTTTAAATGTATGCTGTTTTAAATTTTTTATTAAACTAAAAAGAATTTAACGTTATATTTTTTATTCGAATTCCTTTAGATTCATAAATAATTTTTTCTACTCCTGTGTAAGGATTTAATACTTGGTGAAAATATTTTGAAGTTATTTTAATATTTTAAAGTTTCAATAATTGTTAAGATTAATTAAAATAATAACGAGCAATATTAATAGTGAAAATTACTTGAAAAATGTTTATTGGTATGGTTACTTTACTTTCGTATATATGTGGCTTTATACAAATATTTAACTTGAATCATTTTTTATAATATTTAGTATTTGTCGTAGAAAAAGTATAGTATGCAACTAGTTTGTAAACTTTTAGAGGCACTTATTTAATTAAGTACTCGTTCGCAAGCTCGCTCGTGCCTAATTTAAAATCGTGACTAAAATTGCGTTTATCAAACTCTTAATTCTTAAATGATCTAAACTGTATTATTGTAAACACTTACTACTAAAGTGATTGATTAATTTAGACCAATCGGGTAGAGTTTTTTACCTTCTAGTTTGTAAAAAACCCGTTTGCACCAATAAAAAATTCGATTACTGTTGGATCTCTCTAACCTCACTTTTAATAACTTTTATTAATATTGTGTAACGTTTAACAAATAAAAGTATGTCTTGAAGATAAAATGTTGTATAAAAATTGTAATATTAAAATATTGAAATTGATAACAATTTCTTTAATTTTAAAGGTTTCTCCTTTTTTCAGAATAAGGAAAATTATTTGTGCAGCACTATTTCCTATTTAAATAGAAGTACCAAGTTAGTAGTACTACAGTAGCTAGTATAGTAAATAAGAAGTCAATGTTAGGAAAGCAAAGCCACATCAGAGGTATTAGGAGGCAGATAAGTATGTGGGTCAGTAGAAACATGGGGTGCACGGTCAAGGCTGATGTGATGGCTCTCTGCTGCTCGCATCGCCACACTATCATCGCCATGGATGGCCCTGATTAACCTTGCTTGTTCCACTTTGTCTCTCTTCACTTCTATTCTCGTTTCTTCTTTGCTACAGAGATACCGCACACCTACACCAAAAGTCGAAAGAAAGTTTTTGGAAAAAATTAAGAACGATAAATATACGACAAAATTTGATTTTTTCGCTCCCATGAAAAATTTCTAAAGATTTTGAAAATGGACGTTATTCGGCACATAATATAACAGCTAAACTGGTTGGTATAGTTTTTTAAAAATTTTATTTACCGAATAAATGGAAAAATATTTAAGCTGCATTTTAAAATTATTTAAATTTTATACAGGGTGTTGCTCATTTACGAACTATATCATGTAGTGTTTTTTAGGTTGTCAAACTAAAAGACCAACAGTTTTTTCCAACATATTTTCAATATAAAATAAATACAATTCTGTTATTTTATTTAAAAAAATCAAAAATCAAAAATTTAAGTAGAAATTATTTTTTTTATTTAAAAAAATTTTAATTATTATTTTTTAAAGTATAATTTTTGTATTATATAAGAACATACAGTAATAGAAAAGAAATAATTTATAACAAGTTAGAAAATTAAATACATACCTGTATATGTTAAAATAATAAGAATGGCCAGTAGCGGCTCGTGGATTTTGCGTATATCGATATCTTAGTTTTTAGACATGGGACCCACACCAAATTTATATAATTATATAATGACACCAAATTAACAAGTTCTGCGCAATTCTAAATATTACAGATTTTATATCATTTCTAATAAATTTTTATTTATTTTCCTAAATTAGTAAAATAATACAATGTGAAAATCTGTAATATTTGGAGTTTTTATATAAATTTTAAAATTTGTTAATAAACTATCGTAAATTATAAATTGTACCACTAAAATTTGTATTATTGTAAGTTTATAATGATACATACTAAATAAACAATTTGATGTGGATCCCATGTCTAATTTGTATTATTGTAAGTTTATAATGATACATACTAAATAAACAATTTGGTGTGGGTCCAATGTCTAATAACTAAGATATGGCATATGCAAAATCCATGTATAAAAAAATTAAATGACGTGATTTCGTAAAACAGTATTTTCAAAATCTGATAAAATGTTTCATGGGAGGGAAATCCTTTTGAACTGTGTTATAAATGAAATCATTATAGTAAATAATACCATACTTTTTCTACGACAAATGCTTATTATCATACAAAAATAAATGTAATTAAATATTTGTATAGAGCGACATCTATAAAACAATAAATAACAATCAAAATGGATACCTTGAAAATGGATTAACAACAATTTTTTACATTAAGAGTGAGGAAAATGTTTTATGAGCACTTTACGGTGGAGTCCGATCCAGTATTTAGGTTTATAGTTTACTGCTGGCGAAATTAAAATGTCAGTACACATATAAACTTTTTGAATATTGGCGTTGAGAAACTATTTAATACTTTTGTATTTTTGTATTGAGATAATAAAATAATTTTTACATCTAGTATTATTTTACAAGAAAGGCTCTTTATTTTAAAGATTGTATGACATTTGACAACTGTCAACAAATTTAAAAATAACTTCATCACGACTAAAAACCTGGTACTAACTTGAGCCCGTGACTAAAAGGCCATAAAGCCACAACTTGTCAATGTGTATTTAAAATATCACTTAGTGGCATTAAAATATATACTCTGGCATGCTAAGCTACGCTGCCTGATATTAATTCTTAACTTTCGCTAGCAACAACCACAAAAAACACAGTACAGCTTTTTATTTTTACCCTTTCATCCCAACCAAAAGGTTTCACAAGCCATCTGAATGGCTTGTATAATAAAAATAAAACGACAAAATCACAATAATTTTAGAATTTTCCACTTAAATAATATTTTCTTATCAAAAAAACCTTTCTCGTTAAAGTGCTTCTTTCAGTTCAAAAACCCATTTATTATTCATCATTCTCATATAACTTGTATCGCGTTAAAGTATAAGAGACACCCCAAACAAAAACTATTGTTTCCACGATAGCTTTTGTTTAAAATTTCCAGTTAAATTAGAAAAGTTTTCAAAAATAAGTTTTCAACGTTGAATAGATTAATTTCAAGCATTTAGTTTATAAACTATGTAGAGATCTTTAACAAATTGAATACTGGTTTGAAAAGAATAATACTTAAGGCAAGATAGTGCAGATAGGCAACCAAGAATACAATTATATGACTTAAGTCACTAAGAAATAGTTAGTTCTTATACCTCTTTGTAGAGGGCGGTATAAAAATGGTTCAAGTATTTAATATAACCGCGTTAAAAATGTTTTTTTAATATATTTTTGGAATAAAACTGACGATTAAAAAAATTTCGAAAAGTTGTATGAAAGATAACAATATTTTTATTATTATTATTATTATTACAAAAATGATTTTTTTTACTCCTATTACGGAATATGACCGTTCCAATAAAACTTTTTAATGAAATATTCTATCATCGGATGACAGAATACACTGGTGGCGACATCTCTGTATTTAATGTCTAATAAATTTTCTATGGTATTTTTTGGAAACGTTGAAAAAGTATAGTCTGAAACAAATTTGGAATTGCATATTCCAAATAGTTACAGAATATACTATTAGACCATGTTACTCATTTGTATAATAAAACAAGATTTATGTTAATAAAGAAACAATTTATTGATTAAATATTTACAAAATTATAAATAAAACAGAATAAATATAATACAAAAGCATAAATATTAACTATTTACAAACTAAAATAAATATCACTTCAATCATAATTAATTATCAGGCAAAATACTTTTTTTGGAGGTAGTCTCTCCCTCAGCTTCTATATCCTTTTCATTACTCCTATACTGATTCCACCCATTGTAGGCTAAATCCTGGGCTTGATGCTCATCTCTAAAATGAACACCACCACCACCATGCCCATGATGGTAGTGCTCTGGATACTCCTGATGTACAAAACTTGGTTGTTCCTTGTAATGGGGTTGATAGGCAATACCAGCCGGTGAATAGTGAGGCCCTTGGTTGAAATAGTTACCGGTGAAACCGCTTTGCAGGTTAGGCTTGCAGAGTTTGAAGAAACCGATCAATCCTGGGATCACGATGGCCAGGAGACCGAGGAGTTTTTTGAAGGAGGCTAGGCCTAGGATTAAGGGCAGGAATAAGAGGAGCTTGAGTTTGAAGAGCTTGAGGATTATGAGCATTGGGATAAAGAGCTTTTTCAGTTGTTTTCTCTCTGAAAATATATATAGACATATTAATATTTAAAAATAATAATTTGACTGAATTAATTTAGTAATAATAATAAGCAGTACTTACTTATAAAAGTGTCTTTTTTATCTTCGATCGTGTCAATTTCATCGGCAATTTCGTCAATAAATCTAGGGGAATATCTGCCATTTTCGGACACGTCATTATCAATATCAACTTCTATAGCTGAGGATTTAAGGAATTTTTCCACCTTAAAACATAATAAAAACAAGGTTTATTTTAATTTTATTGCAAAGAAACAATTTTAAAATATTTCAATTCTCAATGATGGAAAATACAAAGAATAAAAGGATTTTAAGGATTCATGTGTTGTCATAGCAAATTTCTTAGTAATCAATAATTTTATAGTTGGACTGAAAAAAATACAATAAAGGGAAACATTTTTCATCTGCAATTTTTATTAAATATTGTATCCTACAAAAATGACTAATTGTAATAGCGAAAAAGCAGCCACTACTAATTCTTGTCAATAGCAATTTGTGTGCCGAATATTTAGCAGTTAACTCCCTTGTAAAATTGTCCCCTGAATCTAAAAATGTCGTCAAAAATTGTAAAAATAGAACAGTTTTTGAGATATAGTCAATTTTCTATATAATATGGAATTGACTATATCTCAAAAACTGCCCTACTTTCATAATTTTTGACTGTGTTTTCGGATTTAGGGGATAATTTTACATACAAATTGGCTATTAAATGTTGGGGCCGTGGTATGTCTTCCATGGTTAACTATGTTATAAGTAAAAAAGAAGCCACTAATAACTATAGTAACTAGTCATTTTTGACTAATTTATTTTAGGAGAGTAATACACTAAGGGAAATATACAGAGGAGCTCTGGATTAGCCGGCCAGATCTCCTGATTTGACCCCCCTAGACTTTTTTATGTGGGGTCTCTACAAAATTTGCGTTTTGAGCAAAATTTGTGTTTTTTATGGAAGTTGGTGCTAGACATTTTGAGCAATTAATTGTTTCTAGGTTCCACTATTCTGGGTTCTATTATTTTCACTGTACTTTTTTGGCTAATTGGAGCTAAGCATAAAAATGACATAAATACCTAGTCAAAATTTAGATCGTAATTTAAACCTAATAAGTCTGTCTTAAACGGTATTATTTTTGCTAAAACCTATATAGGAGATAATTCCATTTTTCCGATTTTTTAGTTCTAATAACTTTTAAATTTGAACCAAATTATGACCGTTTGCGTCTGCGCATGTCGCAGAGTAAATTGTTTCGTTAAAATACAGAACTGTGATTGTGAAATTCAAGATTGTGACTGCGAGGATTATCCTTGTGCGATTATTGAAAATTATGTTTGTTTTATAGTTAAAGGCGACATTTACAGGTACAACGGACATGTGTTTGCAAAAATGTGAACTCCATTTATTCTGTTCCGATTGCTTATATTGTGACGGTGCTCTCTAAAAATGAAATAGTCAAAATTCTATTATTTGAATTAGTACCAGCATTTTTTACTAATAAAATAGTCGTTTTCACTTTTAAATAAATATTTTTTACTACGTAAATATTTAAAGTTTGACTAATTTAAGATAAGTCATCATCTTTGTCTATTTCTTGTTATGTTCTGTTTATAAGCCTATAGAAAAGTTACAGATTTGCTTAGAGGTTGCACAGAATCGGCCCATTAAAGTAACTAATTTCTTTAACCATTTGCCACAAATAAAATGGATTTTTATAAGAGTAGCTGATTGCCGAATGGGTTATGACAACAGCTTGACAAGCTTGACAAGTGACAGACCTGAGTTCAATCCCCGGCTGGGTCAAAACTTTTTTTAAATTTAAATCTACCAATTTGACTATTTCATTCAGTAGAATTTTACTAATTATTAGTGACTGCTTTTTCATTTCATTCAGTAGAATTTTACTAATTATTAGTGACTGCTTTTTCGCTATGACAATTAGTCAAATATGACTTATAATTGGTTATTTTTGACTAATTCATTTTAAGAGAGTGTATATATGAAAATAGACGATAATAAATTCTTTCAAATATCTGTAAATGAAACCAAATTTGAATATAAATTTTGCATTTGTAGAAATTTTATCTATATATTTTTAATGAGTATAGAAATAATTTAAATTTATAAAATAAATAGACGAATACTTTACATTAATTATTTACAGTAAAATTTAAAACTGGATTTATCAATGGTAACATTTTTTTTTAATAAAATTATTTACCTGGTGTATAACAGGTTTTAAATCAGTTTTCGTAGGTCAAAGTATATTTAAATTACGATCTAAATTTTCACTCGGGATAACTATTGAATTCTTTACCTTTCTCAATGCAAATTTGACAAGTTGATCCCACTCAGGCTCGTCAGAACGTGGACTTTGAGAAAACTCGTAAGGTTCTTGAGCTATCTCCCTCAGTTGGTTTACGGGCATTCGTAAAATTTTAGCGTTTTCCGTTAGATGATAGAAGGGCTAAAAATAAGCATATTTATAAATTAATTAAAAAAATTTGCGAGTAAACCTAAAAAAGGAATTTTAATTATTACTCTAGAATTTAGTAGCGTTAATATAAAAATATGATGACAAGTATTAAATTATAAAAAATCAGTTTGGTTTGGAATACCAAAATATCTCTTTGTTTTTAGCCAGCAATTTGTGGTTTATTATTTCTAGTATAAATGGCTACTTTGTGCTTATAAAAACAAAAACATTAATAAGATGGATATAAGATATAAGATATATATATATATATATATATATATATATATATATAATATTTTCTTACTTTATTAAAAAATTCGTCCAACGATGAAAGAGCTCTAGATTTAAAACATTCAGCCAGGTCTCCATTCAAGCAAGCGGCATTGGTTTTTGCTAAATATGGGTCAGTTTCCGGTCCTGTTCCGAGCCCAATCCAATCCAAAAGGTCTCTTCCTAAAATAAAATATATTATTAATTGAATCTTATCCACTAATAGTTTGTTATTTTCAGAATATTTAATTATAAGTATTCAATGGTATTAGGATCAGCTTCATGTGCTGGCCTTTTTTAAATATTTTTACTTCACAGAAAAAACGCTAGTATAGCATGAATGTGCTGGTGAGCCATTAAACCAATGGGATCTTGTAATCCGTATTCCTAAATAACAGTTCTTATAATAAATAGGTAGTTGGAACTTGGTTTATAATCGTTTACTGTTTTTAAATTAACAACAAAAGTTATCGCTCCTAAATCTATTGATATTTATTTTTATTTTATGTTACAATGATATTGCATTAAATACTAATTGGATTTATAATAACGTTACTATAGTATATTTCCTATGTATATAATAATCCGATATTAAAAAATTTTGTTTTTAGTTAAAAAAAAATTGTTGCATTTCATTTTTATAGCTTTTTATGATTAATGCAAGAACTCCAAAAACTTCAAAAGTTATTAGGCAGTTTTTTTACATTTAAAAAACATACCTAAAAGCACCTAAAACAATAATTTTGTAATAGAATTTTATACAGGATGGTCAAAAACAAAGGTCAAATTTTGTAAAAGAAAATTTTTAAGCACTTTGTAAAGATTTTGCAAAAACAATCTGTTATTTTTTTAGGTATTACACTAACTACACCTAGTTTTGTTAAGTAACAGAGAGTACTCTAATAGTAATATTAATATAATAAGAGACATAATGTTAATAAATGAACTATTTAAAAGTATTCCTTAAGTACCAGTACTATTTTTAAATTTAAATGTGGTAAATAAATTTTGTTCGAAAAATGGCGAATGCGCCGGGATTAACTGAATTTTGGAGTGTCCAAATTTTTCAAAATTTGGTGGTGGTACGTCAAACGGTAAAGATTTTTATTACATAACTAAGTTTTAATTTGCATAATTTTTTTTATTGTTAATGGTTATAAAGTAATTTAATAATACAAAGTTAGTTGTGTCATAATATTAAGAAGATGGTTTTTGTGTGGTAAGCGCAAAGTTTAAATGTTGAAGCGAAGAACAAAAATACACTCCTCAACTGCATGGCATAAAACATTATATTTTCAAGTCATAATTTTATTTGTTAAACAATACATAAAACGTACAATGTTAATAATTATTAAAAGTTGAAAGTGGGGTTAGATAGCTTTAGAGTTATTACAGGTTTCGAATTTTTGTGATTGGTTTAAATTATTTTTACAGCCTTTACAGATTGAATCGAATACATTAAAAGTAAGCGTTGACAATAATAAAACTTAAATTATAAAACGATTGAAGATAAACGTCTTTATATAGCAAATAACACCGGTTAACAAATTAAAATAAAAAAAATTTACATTCAATGCCGCTATTTTTTTGTATTTGTATTTTGTTTCTGAGATACATTTTTTCTTTAATATTTTAGTTCTTAGTACCCAATCAGTTAATTTGCTTAAGTTCAATTCCTATACAACGGTGTTTAATTTTTTTGAATCGGTTTGTTTATTTTTGAGATATGTACAAATTTTTAAGGGGAAAGCTCCTGGGCCCAGGAGCACAAGGGGTAAGGAAACCAAATTTTGCCATGAAAAGTTGTCCTTTTTAATATAGAACTTTACGTGTCTCGGCGTTTTTTCAAAATTCTTTTAGTTTCCGGGAAATTTTTGGTGTTTCGTTTTAAATGGATCTCATTATAACATATCAAAAATTAAAAATAATTTGGGTAATTTTGGCACTCAAAATCTTGTTTTTTTTCACTCATTGTATCAAATTTTAAAAGTAAGAAAGTAGCTTACAACAGCGATATCACAATGTAAAATTTAATGTTTTAAAACAAAAAAATTTTAGGAATTTATAAAGAAACAACTGTTTCTTTAAAATGTATAAAATTCATTGGTAGTGCAATAAACGCTACGAAAGAAAAAGTTGAATTTTGCTACCTTTACATAAATGTCATAACTTTGACATTTATCCATAATTTTTTTTAATATACCTTATTTTTATCATAAAAGTGCAAACTCCTTGTAGATATTTGATTGAATGTTTATGAAATAATAGCACTTCTCTGCTTATTGTTTTTTATTTTAAAAACTCTACTAGTTTTGGTTATTAGTAATAACTTATTACTAACCTTCTTCGGAGGTCTCTACAATAGTACAATACATATTGAACAACATATTAAAATTGGGTTAAAATTACTTATACGTCAGATTAACAAATACATATAAAAATTGATTTAAATCTTTATATCTATGAGGTAAAATATTTGTAAAATATTATTTTAAACCAGTAAATAGAATGTAAATAGAATTAATTTTTAACGAGAATTTTAGGGTTGTGTTATGTCTTTATGTATACTGGTTGTTTCTGCTTCTGTTTGTACCGGTTGTTTTAAATATTTAAATATTGGTGTATAATATAGATTGACCTGTTCGTTAAAACTTTTATATTGCTTGTCTTGTGCATGTTTATCAATTTCCATTACTTCTAATAAGGTTAGTTTATAGTTTATATCTTGAAAATGTAGGATTTTTACTCCTTCTTTTTCGTGTTCCTCTTCTATGAGATGGTTGCCGAAATTTGAATTTTTATTTTTAAGATGTTCTTCGATTATAGTTTCACCTATGTATAGTGCATTGCAATCTTTGCATTTAAGTTTGTATACTCCGTTCTTTTGTAATACATTTGTTTGATCTTTGGCATTTTTAAGGCTGTTGTAAGTTGTTTTTTTTTGCGGCTTTAGGGTTTTATTTTTTTTTTAATTTTATTGATATTATTTTTGAGTGGTCCTTGAACATAAAAAACAACTTACAATAGCCTTAAAATAAACTTAACTAATTGGGCATTTATAAAGTTACATTTGTTGACATGTCAACTAGGTTTAATTTGACATCTTTTGCAATACTATTGGCCATTTCAAGCTCAAGATGTAAAACTACCTTTAAAAAACAAAGAAATTTTTTTATTTGGAAAACCCTGCCGTAAAAAAAAATTGTATTGTAATTTTCGTGTTTGGCAAAAAATAATCGCATCGAATGTACATTTTGGCTGTAAACGGGTGTAATTATACTTTATTAAATAAAAACTACTAATAAATTATTTTTTTCTACGCCTATTGCATATTATTACCATGATTTGGATTTCTTCCTACTCTCTAAAAATGAATTAGTCAAAAATGACTAATTTAATAGTTATTAGTGGCTGCTTTTTCACTTGTACCATGGTTAACCATGGAATACCCAAGATTTAACAACCAATTCGTATGTAAAATTATCCCTTGAATCCAAAAATGTCAAAAGTTAAAAAAGGAGAACTGTTTTTGAGATATAGTCAATTTTCCATTTAATATGGAATTAACTATATTTCAAAAACTGCTCCACTTTCATAATTTTTGACGGTATTTTCGGATTCAGGGGACAATTTTACATAGATACCATGGTATTCCATGGTTAACCATGGTACATGTGAAAAAGCAGCCACCAATAACTATTAAATTAGCCATTTTTGACTAATTCATTTTAAGAGAGTACATAAAGATAACCATTATAACCGGCCTAACAAGGAAAATAATGAACCAAAAAATCTATATAAAAATAAGTCAAATTATTTGTGGTATTACATTTAATTTTTTTATTAATTTCTTGTGTAAAATAATTATTATTTTTCTCAGTGGGCATTGAAGATCATTAAATATTAATAAAAATAAGTAATTTAACGGTAATATTCTTGCGTGTAAAGTACTCTTCACATGGCCAATTAGGTAAATAAAATACATAATTTTTATATAACAACAAACGCAAAGGAAACAAACTGTTAGAGAAAAGTACTATAATAATGAAAATAGTTATGACACAAATAACGCGTAAAGGTAAATAAAACTAATTACTAAAATTAACACCAGAAAAAGTGACAAAAAGAAAACAATGGATAAGTGACCCACTAATATAAACAAAAAATCAAAAGTGTAATGTATGACTTACCTTGTCTAGGGTCTTGTTGATCTTGGGGCAAAACATTTTGACAGATGCTCTGAAGCGCCAACAGCGACACACCGGCAGCCAGTAAAGACCACTTCGCCAAACTTAACATCTCAACGTATTTATAACAGTTTTACTGATGGTAATAATATCCGTATGCGCTCAGCCAGGTCACTAACTGTAAACCAACTACGTGATTCCACTTGCACTCCTTCGCGATCAAAATTTGTTATTGAATTTTCGTCAGTTCGCCACTCTGTAGGTGAGCTGATTGTGTTGCCAGTTTTTGCCGAACTTTTGGTTTTATAACAATGCGTTGGGAGGGTTGGTTAACATTGGAATACCCAGCTTAAGTAATAGTTACTTAATATTGAAGCACAAGCAGTCAGTGCCCGGAGAAAGTGACTTCTATCTCCAACAACCTTCGTTAGATTTTATGGTCGATGTCGAATAAATTTTGGGAAAAAACTGATTTCTGTGTAATATACAAGGTGTCCCTAAACTTAGTGGTATAAATTTAGGAGCAAGTCTAAATAAGACGAAAATCTAAATAAATATTTTTACTAATTACGTATGTTTCCAAGATACAGGGTGATAAAGTGTTACTTATCATATCAGTTATGTGATAACAATTGTTATCACATAACTGATATGATAAGTAACACTTTATCACCCTGTATCTTGGAAACATACGTAATTAGTAAAAATATTTATTTAGATTTAAATCTTATTTTTTAATTGAAAAAACTATTTTTTAATTGAAAAAACTATTTTTTTTAATGTGACGGCCAGGGTTAAAATTCCCAAGGCTTATGAAATGCGCTTTATAGTTTTTTTAATTAAAAAATTAAATTTTTTATCATATGGGTCGTTTTCAAAAAACACCCGCCTTCCGCTGTCCGTAAGTTTAAATTCCAATAACTTTGTTAAAAATTATCGGATCTTATTGATTTAAAAACCAAGTAAAAGCGTAACAAGCCCTTTCAGAAAATTTTTGTTTAGTTATTTCAGAATATTTTTTTTTAATTTTGAAACTTGTGAAATCCACATTTTCGAATGTCCCATTAGCGTTTTATAAAACTTACATACATGTTTTTTTTATATTGAATAACTAGAACTTTATGTTGCTTTATAGCAATCCATAACATCCTTAGTTAATACAGTAAACAATTTATATATAAAATAATTAATTTTAATCTACTTTTTTTAAATTTGACTCATGTCCCAGACATTTTTTCCGTTGCGTTACGTCCTTCGCGTTACCGATAGAATATTAAAAAAACATATATATGGCAACTTTTTTGGTACTCACGTGATCAACAAATGATGTTCGGACGTACACATTACCCAGCTAAATTTATTTATTCAATCAGGAAGAAGATATCGGTTGAAACAGGTGCGGGTAACGCGAATGTAATAATTGTTTGTCCGCTAAGTTACTCAAAAAAATAATAAAAATAAGGTAAGAAAAAATACTATTTTTCATGTTTAGGGCACTAAAGCTAATTGAGAGTAATTAATGACTATAATGTCTTATTATTATTTTTTAAATATGGTTTTACAAAACTTTGTCTACTGCGTTACCGAGTCCACTATGTTACCTTATGGTAACGCAATGAAATTTAGGGTAACGCAATAGAATTTTTCGACAACAAAGTGGCCAAATTTGGCTAATACTTCTCATAAATACTCGTAGAAAAAATAAGTAAACTTAAGGAAGTAACAAGAATATATTTAGACATGTTTCTGATGTGTCCTGTCCATGGGCTTGGAATGGCCGTATAGTAGAAGTTATATTAAAAAAACTGATATGATAAGTACCACTGATCACCTTGTATCTTGGAAACATAAGTAATTAGTAAAAATATTTATTTAGGTTTTCGTCTTATTTTGACTTGCTCAATCTTTTCCTAAATTTATGTCACTAAATTTACCTTATATAACTCTTATTATTATTATTATTTGTATATATATATATACAAAATTCTATCATTGCTACGTCCATACATTTATAAAATCCCTATTCTTATTGCGTCAACGACCTTACTGCGTCAGTATATCTGACGCACTAATGTCAAGCGCTTATTTCTTAAAATTTACTTCATCCTAGCACTTTCTAAGATTCTTGCTAATACAGATCTGTGTAGAATTTAATGCCCAATTTTTGTGTCCAAAAATTTTTTATGTCCGACCCTGCGTTTTTTAAATATTTAGAAAAATTTGAACACAAAAAGTGTGCAGCAACATACTAAAAATGGAAAAAATGTGTATATTTAGTTCCACCCATTTGACGATGAGGGCGTTGCGATAATATACGTTTTCCAATATACGTGTTTTTAAATACTGTATGTTGTTGCGTCGCACAATTTGGCAACGTCTCGCCTATGATTTTAATATTTGAATTAAACTCACGATACTGTTGCGAATGATAGTGCTGTCTCTCTCGCACCGTGTGACGTCACGCCAGAGACAGTTGTTCTTTCGTTTAAATGTAATCATATTATAATCTTGGGGCGCGCGTCGAGTTTTATGAAATTTACAATTATGACGGTCGATTTATTAAAACTGATTGTAAGAATTGTTTTGTCCATAAGTAATTGTGACAATGTATTTTTTAAATTATATATGCAGATGCAGATTTAAAGGCAGAAAAACGATTATCATTTTTTTACGCTTATAATCGTAAAAAAATGATCATCGTTTTTCTGTTAATTTTACTATTTTAAAAATAATAAAAGTTTTTCATGTTTTTAGATACTTAAAAAAAAGGTTAATATCAATGAAAATAACTACAATGTGTTTTATGTTATTAACAGGTAATTCAAAAAAAATTAAAAAAAGTAAAACATCAATGTTATAAATACAGGGTGTTTCTACTAAAAATTGACAATCTAAATTAGGCTTCCTAATAAATATTTTTCAATTGAGCTTTTGTTTTTGAATTATTAAACTTTGTTTTGAAGTAAAACTTTTTATGTAAGTTATTTATAGGCGGATTAAAAAAAATAGTTTTTAGTAAATTTTGACATTTTTTCTTTAGTATCTTTAGTAGATTTATTACACTTTTTACACAAAATAACAAAAACACAATACAAATTTGAATGTCTTATAATAATAATTATTATAATTTTAATTATTGTAATAATAATAATATTACATCATATCAGTGGCGTAGCTAGCCTCGAGGGGGCCCCGTATCAAAAATCTATTAGGGGCCCTTATCCCGGAAAAGGTGCTGGCAAAAAAATTTTAGGGTATAATTTTTTTGCATTTACCAATTTTTATAATTTAATAAATAATATATGTGGGTGAATCTCACGAAATGTCTCCCGATGGTGTTACCCCTAATATTTAATAAAACTAAATGAGTTTGACCTACACTTTTATTGTATTTTGATCTTTCATAATTAAGTAGATATTACAGCTCAGGTTCGAGATTTTTAACCGCAATTAATTATTTTTACAATGTTTTAAAAGTCAAAAACCTATCCTCCGTGACTGTTACTCTTTCTAGGTTAACCTATATGTTTTCAAATATCTGAGGTAGTAAAAGCATACCGAAAATATCAGTTCACTAAGTAAATTAAACACATCCACAGCAATCGAATCCAATATAAAATATTAATAAAAATTAAAAGAAATAATTTTTATAACCATTTATGTAGGTGTTAAAAAATTGAATATATCCTCCGTTAATCTGTTTTTGCTTTAAATTTTATGCAACGGATGGCGCTTTAATCATTTTAAATAACCAAAAACCTCTGTTTACGACAGTATTGCTATTTAAAAACCTATCCACCGTGAAGTGTAATATCTCAGTAAGTAAATTTTTTTATAAATATTTTATGTATGTACAATTTTATTTTTTTTAAATATTAAGGATTCAAAAGATGTAATAACTTATTTCAAATATACAAAAGTTTAAAAAAACATACGAAATCCTAACCTCCGTGAACCTATCTTCCGTGAAGCTAAAATATTCAAAATTTATGATTTCTTAATACATTAGTGCAGAACCACTTATGTTATGTTATTACTAGACCTGGTGGCTTCCAAAAAACCCCATTCTAGACTAACAGTGAAACATATAAAATAAAAAATAATCATTTTCACTTGGGGGATATCTCAATATGTGTACATAGCTTTTTATGTACAGGCAAATTTTAAAATTTGGTCTGGTTTTAGACATTTGCCGTTCTTCAACATCTTTTAAAAGGTTTATATTTTAAAATAAAGGCAAGTCATTTAAAATAGTTGTAACGCTAATAATTATTTCTAATTTGCTATTAATATAACCTATGATAATAATACCCAAAGCAGACTCATTATGCCGCGCAGAGCAGAGAACAATATGCCCAGACTGCGCCGCAGACAACGCATAGCGGAAAGGTGCGGGCAGAAACATTTCGCATGAGTTAACGGCCTTGTTGAAACAGGAGCCCAGGTAGCACAACACAATGGACACAAATCGTCACGGTTTCGTCACGTTGTGCTACCTGGGAGGGTATTCAGGAAAATTTTAATTTAATAAATCGAAGAATAAACAATTAAATGATATTATTATTTATTTATTTAATTTGATGCCTCAATTTTTGTAACATGTGGGTAATATGTTTTTTGCTTACGCATGTCGAAGCCAATCGGGCCCCCCTGGCCGGATGCCCCGTATCATTGATACGGCTGATACAGCGGTAGCTACGCCCCTGCATCATATTATAATAATAACATTACTAAACAAAATTAAACATAATAATATCATTAAAAATGCAGTAGCAAGTTAAATAAGTAGTTTCGAAACTCGAATGTTGAGCGGTCTATGGAATGTCACCCCGTCCATCATCTCTATGTTCAGGCATAATTAAATACATGTATATCTTAAAATCAAATAATACCACACAATGTTAGTTAAAAAAAATTGTCTTAATTTTAAAAATATTCAATCCCCCGGGGGCGCGGCAAAAATTATTTTTAAAATTTAAAAAAACAGCTTATACAAATACCCTTCTCACAACTTTTTTTTAACTAAGTGAGATTTACAAAAATAATTATTTCAGCCCAGCCTACCGAATTTTTAATTTTTGCCGCGCCCCCGGGGGATTGAATGTTTTTAAAATTAAGACAATTTTTTTTAACTGTTCGTTTTGAATTTGGCATATTGAAAAACTATAAGGTATTAACTCACTTGTAACACAAAAAAAATCTTGTTAATATATTTTAATTTTAAGCCCCTCCCTAAAGCTTTTTAAGTTCTAATA